CCAGCCTGGTCTATGTAGCAAGTTCCAGGCCAGCTGGTTAAAAGCACTGGCTTCTCTTTCAGAGGACCCAGGTCTGTTTCTCAGCATCCACATGGTAGCTAACAACCATCCATAACTCCAGTTCTAGAAGACCTGATGCCTTGTTCTGGCCTCGGCAGACACTGCACGCACATGGTGCCCTTACATACATCATACACATAAAATAAAAATAATTTTTTTAAATAACCAATCTCATGCCAAGTATGATAGTGTATGTTTGTAGTCTCAGCACTAAGGAAGTGAAGCTAGATTGGACTAGATAGCAAGCTTTGGGCCAGCCAGACCTTAGCTTGGTAATCAAGGCACTCTACAACTTACGATCACATTACTTACAAAATTAACCAACAGCTCCTGTATACAAAATAGTAGGAAATAGACAAATAAGAAAGCCTTTCTTCTCCATGATCTAATAATTAAGTACAATAACAAGGCCCAAACAAAAATCAACAGCACACAGCATAGATGTTGTTCACTCATAGATGCCACTCTCTAAAAGGACGTTCCAGTTTCCTTGGCAATGGAAGATACCAAGCTTACTCAAATTTTCCTGCTTTTGTTTCTTTTATTCCACCCATACTCCCTCAAAACCAAAACAAAAAAATCCTTTTTTCTAGATTTTTTTCAACATTTTTATTTATTATTATTGTGTGTGCGTGTATGGACACACACATGGCATGGTAAGCATCAGTTCCCTCCAATCAAGTGAGTCTTGGGGATCAAACGCAGGTCATCAGACTTGGCAAACAGCACCATTATCAACTGAGCCATCTTGCTGGTCCAAGAAATTTTTCTTAACTTGTATCTATCCATTCCGATTTTAAAGTCTAGTTCAAATAGCATCACTCTCTTGTGATTTAAACATATATAACAATTTCTACTCTCAACTATTTTCAAGGTATATAATCACCTTCTCTATTCAATATTTGAGCTTCCAGAAAGAATAACCACTTCTTACCTGTTCTTGTCTTTTCCTTCCTCCTAAGTACAATGCCCTCCACTAAAATAGATCATGACAGAACAAGTAGTCAAATTTATGCACCGAGTTTAAACAAAAAGCAAAACTGACAGTAGGCAACTGCTACTACTAAGTAAATTCCAACAAGACTAGAAGACTACTGTGGCAAGCACTGGGCTATCAACAAGTCCCCAAAGTACCAAATCAAATAAAGCCATCCAAATAATAGATCCACTCAAGGTCCCTTCTGTGCAACCACCATATTACCAGATTACTTGCACAGTGTCACTTCTGAGTCAATTGAAGAATAAATAATCATTCTATTATCTGCTGTCAAATTTGAAGAGTCTAGACTCCACAAAGTGAAGGACGATACATGGAAAGTAGGCAGCATAATTGCTAACACCCCTACAATGACTGGAAGACCATTAAATGCCACTTTGTGGCAAATCTGCCACTCACCCTCCATGAATTTAGTATTAAAACGTGTTACTTAGGTATTTTTGTTAATACCCACACCTCAATCCCAACTCTGAGTATATCTTTCCTTTGCTTAATAAACTCCAAGTTTTCTTCAAAAGCAAACAAGAAAGTTCCACCTAGATTTCCACTTGCCTACACTTTGCCCATTTTCTCTCAGCTGCACATCTATTATTGAATAATCAGAGCTGCAATTAGCTAGGAATGGTGGCTCTACCTATAATCCCAACACTTGAAGGCTTAAGTAGGACTATCTTCAGTTTGAGGCCAGCCTGGGTTACAGAGTGAGATAAGACCCTGTCTCAAAATTTGTAGCATGTTTTAAGTACTTAATATTTCTTCTAGCTTTCAACAGACTCCAACAATGGCCAATACAGAGTATGTCACCAACAAAGTCAACCAAAGGGCATAGTACTCCAATTTCCTACCTCCCAGGCAAAATGCCTATTGGGACAAAGTTATCAACTTCATTAGCTTCTATTTTTAAAATTATTTCTATATCTGCCATCATATTAAATAATTTCAAAACCTGGGATATAGCTCAGTTGGTAGAGTGCTATCTTAGCAGGCACAGAATCCCAGGTTCAATCCTCTGTACTCATAAACTAGATGTAGTGATTCACACCTATAATCCCACTACTATGGCTACAAAACAAAGTTTGAAACTAGCTTGGCCTACATGAGACAGTCTCAGAAAGGAAAGAAGGGAGGGAGGGAGAGGAGGGAGGGAAGGAAAGAAGACGAGAAGAATGGAGGGAGGGAAGGAGAGAGGGAGAGAGGGAGGGAGGGAGGAGGGAAGGAAGGAAAAGTGCTGATACTGGGGCGTGGGAAACAGAACCTAGGCATTTTAATGGGAACATGGGAAAATAAGAAAGGAGATAATTAAGTAAAACACCCATCATACAAAAACAGCAATTCATGTAGTTTTTATGTTACATAAATCTTATAAGTCTTTTTACCTGCTAAATTCTGATTAATTTAAAAGGAAGAAAGAAAAAAAGAAATTTCTATTACCTCCCTTAAGATTGTACAGCACAACAGCAAATTACAAAGCATTGTTTTTGGTTCACTCGTCCCCCCAAACACCCTCTCTGCTAAGTACTGAGCCTTTAATAAGAGTCAAGTACAGAGTACTAAGTGATTTGCATAATTATCTCAATCTTCAAACAGTTAAGGGGGTCAGTGAATATGCATCCAAGGTAAAACATGAGCTTAGTGTGCACAAAGCCCTCAGTTTCTTCCCCAGTGCCAAAAAAATAAAAATAAGAGAATTTAAATTGGGTGATGTTATCCACAGATATGAAAACTGAGGCTTAGAAATGCTTCAAAAACAAATTTTCCTGAAATGATATCTATAAGAGAATACTTGTATTTTGAATACCAGAATATTCTAGAAATATATTATTAGGTTTGAGCCCATTACAACAGAACCCTCTAAACTACAAATTTCACATATAAAGCAATCGATTCTTTGTTATCTCTCAGTGTCTAACACAGAATACCTGTTCAACAAAAACCTGTATGTCTAAACCAAATCTTACAAGTTAATTCCTAAAATAAATTGACCACAGGGCAAGACCTAACAGGTTGTTTAAACTAGATTAGGTGATATAATAGTCAATAATCACACCACCTATAAAACATAACCCCAAATCCCAAATGTTATTTTAACTAATAAACAAAAAGAAAAATGAGTAAAAAATGATAGAAATAAACCAAGTTTACCCTTCAAAGAACTCTCCTGCCTAGTGAGTGCCAGAATTACAGGTGTATGCTGCAAGGTATCCTTTGAGTAGTGAATCAAAGAAAGTGCAGGTACAGAGCAGGCATGGTAAGCAACCTGTTATCTCATTAGGCTAACTAGACCTAACTGTTGCCTAGTTTTTATAAAAATGTAAAAACTGGATGTATTAAGACTCTAGTAGTTAACTGCTATTGGAACTCAACAAAGACAAACTCTATAAATGTTCATTCTAACACAGGTAATCTATGAAGTTTTGAGGCACCCAAACAGCTTTCAGAGAGCAAAAGGAGTCTTGTTCCACAGGTAAAAGAGCATCTGGTGTTCCGCAGAAAAAAAATTAACATACTTTTCAGTTCCCATCCTACACACAGGTTATACTATTATGCAAGCACATTAACACTTGGTAATCTTTTCCTTTTTTCTAAAAAAAAAAAGGTAATTTTAATTTATTCAATAATTTTTTAATTCAGTAGCTGCATAAGTATTGCTCTTTTCCTCTTCAGGCTCAAATTTCTTACATTTCAAAACACTATCCTGAAGGCAAATTCTTCTTTTAAAAAAAGACTTAATTATGTCACTCAGAAAGAGGGGGCAAAAAGTCAGGAAACAAAACTGGAGCTATTCCTATTAGTCTTACATAACTTATTTTAAGTCGGAATTAATTCAATTGTTCAACCTTACTTAGTTTTAGGCACAAGGATGAGCTCCTTTAGTGCACTCTCCAAACACCAAATTTTTTTAAAATTAGAAGGTGTTTGCTTACTCTTTTGATTTCTTAAAATATAAGCACATATGCAAAACAGTGCCAATATAAACATGCAAAAACAGTTTAAAAATAAAAAGCAGGGCTGGAGCTGGACATGGTGGAGTACACCTTTAACCCCAGCACTCGGGAGGCAGAAGCAAGCAGGTCTTTCTGAGTCCAAGGCCAGGCTGGTCTATAACAAATAAGATCCAGGCCAGCTAGAGGGCTACATAGTGAAATTGTCTTTAAAAGAAAAAAAAAAAAAAAGAGGAGTAATGAATCCTTACTTTAACTAATGCTATAACTGACAATACTGATATAATTTTAGAAAAGTTATTGTTTTGCACATCACCTTGTAAGTGCACATTATCTACAAAAAAAGGTGATTTCAAAAGCAATAGATACATGTTTATCCAAGTATAAACAAAACTCTGAAAATGTAGTTCGCTATTCCTACTTCATTAAACTGCCTTTAATAATTACAATTATTTTATCTAGGGCAAATATCTATCAAACCTTACAAAAACATTAAGCTTGCACAGCAGTTATCCTATCAGAAAGGAAGGCCCTGGAAATGAAATTCAGCTAAAAGCTATGTGTTAACTACATTTCAGCACTGGGCCACTTGAGCCCCAGTGTAACAGTGGCCACAGATTCCAGGCAACTGCTCTGGGAACTGCTGCTTGCTTAATCAAGCACTGAACTACAGATTCACCTTTGAAAAAGACTGAAAGCCAGGTCAAGTTTCACTCTCTAAGTTTTCCTAAACGAATTAGGGTTTGGGATTTCACTGGGAATGACCAAGTTATCAAGAAGCCATCGCCCTACTGAGGCATTTAATGAGAATACCTTCTCTGTTTGCCCGTCAACCACTTCGATTAAATTTCCACTAGAATCAGGCCTACAAAAAGCTGATTCCACTGCCTTGCTGAAAAGCGTCCACTGGGAGCAAACCCTGGGATTCTGCACGCAGGGTCCTCTCAGAGAGGGCAAGGGGAAAGAAAAGTAAAGGCTGTAAGACATGGTAGTGACATTACCTTGCTCGTCTTGTGATCAAACCAGACGAGGGCATGGTTCCTTGACAGCACTTTGCAGTCAAAGGTGGCATTATTCTGCGCTGGTCGACAGCGTGCCACCGAGCGGCCGATCTTGATGGGCTCGTCCAGGTAGACATGACGCTCCTGAAACGGGTGCGAGTTCGGGCGGCAAGTGAAGATGGCCAAGGCTGACGGCATCGAGGACAGACTGGGGGTGTCTCTCCTACCAGACAATGAGGAGCTCCCCCAGGTTCGGAATGCTCTTCACAAGCCTATGCCCCTAGCCCCCCAAAATGTTCAAATTAAAACAAACTGCACATGGTCGAAGCATAACCCATGAACATCAACACCTCTTCGCTTGGGTAGGAAGCCAGGCCAGCGCAAGCTCCATCACCTCCTCCAAAACACGGCGGCTCCCCGACCAAGCACAGTCCCCAGCCAGCAGCTTTCAGTCCATCTTCCCTGGGAAGAAAAGGCTCAAACATTGGGCAGCTTCGGCCAAGAAAAATCCCGGAAGACAGTTTGGGGACTGGGGGGATCCAAGCCAAAGACACACACACCGATTCTCAGGTTTTGTCTGCGATCCCGACCGCTTCTCCCCTTGGGCGGCGGCAACCTTGCAGCACTGCAGCATCCAGAGGGCCGGCTGGGAGCAGCCACGAAGGTCCGGGCGCCGCAGGAACCAGGAGCCCGGGGATACCGGGCAGCCCCGCCGCTCCTCGAGGGCCTGGCTCGGGGGTGCACGGCGCGGGGCACACGCGAGGGCTAGAGGGGCCGCGGGGAGGTGGGCATGGCCCTGTAGCGCCGAGGCAGCCCGGGAGTGGCAGGGTCCGAGCGCCCGTCCCAGGTTCGACGCGGGGGCCTGAGGGGGGCGCGGGCAGCCGGCAAGGGACACAGGCAGCCGGCGGGGTGCGAGTCCGGGGCACCTGGCGGACGTCCCCGGGACCAGGGCGGGGACCCGGCTCTGCAGGCCGGTGCAGACACAGCCAGGCGCTACCCCGGCAGCAGGTCGGGCGTCCGGGCAGGCGGGAAGTTAGTTCCTCGAGCCAGGGTTCGACCACTCAGCACGAGGCCCGTGTATGCGAGGGTCGCATTTCAGGGACCCGCGGCTCCCGGGGACTAGGGGGTGGGGGAGGGAAGCTGGCCCGGAGATGGAGGGAGAGGCCTGGAGGCCAGGGCTGGGTCCGCCGCAGCCTCCTCCACTCGCTGCCAGTGCGGCAGGCTCAGGCAGTGGCTGGCGAGGCAGGAAACTTTCCGACCTGGTGGGGAAAACAGCAAAACAAATGGCAGTCAGGAGCCGGTGCCCGCTCGCCTCAGCTCTCGCCCCCCTCAGCCAGCCCCCTCAGCCCGGTTGCTGGCCACGACCTCCGGCGACCTCTCCTCAGGAGGGCGACCGGGTTTGAAGCCAGGACCGCAAGCCCAGTCCTGGCCCTCTGGCCGTGGCCGCGGCCGCTGCTGCCGCTGCCGCTGCCGTCGCCGCCTCAGCTTACCTTGCCAGCGCCGGCCGCCATAGTGACTCTTACTGAAACCTACCCGGTGCACTGCCACGGGAACGCGCACCCTTTTCAAGGGCCCTTCTACCGCCGTCTCCCGTGCCGTAGTCCGGGGATATCATGTGAACGACGCTGCGGAAGCCATGTTTGTCACGGGCAGGAAAAAAAAAAAGGGCAACCTGGTTTTTAACGCGCCTCTGGGCGCCATCATTGTTAAGGACAGAAGCTTCAAGCTTCGGGACATCCTCGGCAACCATTTTGGTTAAGGGCAAGGAAGAGTTTGAGGAATTGAATGTTTCAGAAACAAACGATACCAATTTCTGGTTTCACCTTCTGAGTAAGATGGTACCAACTTTTACCAAATTTATCCACTGTGATTCTCACTGAAAATACTAATAAGGTGGGTGGACCCAGGCAAGGTAGATACTCATTAGCAGCCATCTTAGCTGTGGGCAACAAACTCAATCCCTCACCGCCGCCCTACCGGTGACCTACCAAATTCCACAAGTCTGAAGATTTGCGAACAACAGGACTCTCTTGTCTCTACTAAATTCTCGGAGTTTCTTATATTCCATTTCGAATTCCTGTTCCTTTCATTGGACCTACTGTGTTCCTCAGGATTCCTAGGTGCATTCTAACCCAGAAGAAGTAAGACCGGAAAGTTTAAAATCATGTTTTCAAAGAGGGGTCCAACAGTTTCTAATAGGAAAATATGGAGTGCTGCCCAATCCTAACAATCCTGAAGTAGGTAAGGAGTCATTGGGCCAAAGAAGAAAAGATTAGGCTAAAGCTGAATAAGAACTTTAAGGAAAGATAGGAAGACTCTTAATCATTTAAAATCACTATTGACTTCATTCTTAACATGCCTGTGAAAACAGGCTTCCCCCGTGTAACCTTGACAAGCCTAAACTTTTTCAGGCTCCTTTTTCTCTTCCATAACATAAAATATTTAACTCCCTCGTAGAGTCTTTATGGTGTCAGACCACATTATTCAACAGAGAGTATTCATTCCAGTACTTCTGTAGTAGGTTTTATGCTGAGTCCAGGGGACACAGGTTGTCCTAAATTTGTTTCTTCATTGCTATGACAAAACACTCTGGCCACTATCAACTTGGGGGGGAAAGGGTTTATCCAGCTTACATCTCTGGGGTCACAGTTCATTAAGGAGCCCCAGGTAGGAACTCAGGGCAGGAACCTGGAGGCAGGAGATGGAGCAAAGGCCATGGAGGAATGCTGCTTACTGGCTTGCTCCCCTGGTCCCTGCTCAGCCTGCTTTCTTGTGCAACATAAGCCCACCTGCCCAGGGATGGCACCACCCACAGTGGGCTGGGCCCTCCCACATCGCTCAACAATCAAGAAGGTGCCCCATGGACATGGCCACAGGCCAGTCCAATGAAGGCAATTCCCCAGTTGAGGCTCCCTCAACCCAGGTATGTTAAGTTGACACTAAAGCTGTCCAGCACACAGGTGAACACAGCCTCAATCTCTGCCTGCTGGTTGCATAACCAGTGTTGTGGGTTAGAGACGGAGGGAATGGTGACACAATACAGGTAACTTCACTTTAACACACTCAAAGTTAAAAGAACTCAAGCTCTGGGTGCTAAAAGGGATCAAGGACAAACTTCTGGGAGAATTAACCAAACTGAATGAAGAAAAGTTGACAAACTACAATAAATATGGTATTTGCTGAATGGTTTAATAAGTTTCCAGGAAGAGGAATAGCAAGTAATAAAACAAGGCTGTATAGAACAGTACATCAGTGTGCCTGGCACAGTGGCTAAGTAAATATTTAATGCATGAATGAAAATTACATACTGTTACTCATTATTAAAGAATAAAGTGGATGAGCACAATGTGAATCTGGACAGAATAGGAATTGTATGATGACCTTACCTGTGGTGGGGGGAGAGGGAGAGGGAGAGGGAGAGGGAGAGGGAGGGAGGGAGGGGGAGAGAGAGAGAGAGAGAGAGAGAGAGAGAGAGAGAGAGAGAGAGAGAGGCTTGGACTCAGGGTCTTGTGCATGCTAGGCAGACACCCAAGACCTTTTGTACTTTTTAAAGACTTTTTATCATTTCAGCAAATATATTGGGTAACTACTGTGTTCTAGGTGTTTTTGTCCTGGAGAATAAGGACATGTTGGAAAGTTTATTATCAGGGGTTGAAAATCTTTTGCCTCTGATAACTTTTATACTTATGTGGAATAAAGTAAGAAAACTTTCCACAAATCTCTAATGAGTTGTATACATGAATTTTTAAGTCATTTATGCATTCTTTCATTCACTCTATAAATCTTTCATTGAATGCCCACAGGGAAACAGATACTGTGAAATGCTCTGGAATTAACAACAGTGAAGAAAAAAACTAATAAATCCTAAAGTTGCTATAGTTTAGATAAAGACACAATAAGATCCTTGCTGTACTAAAGCAAACAGAGTGATGGGTGCGTGGAAGAATAAACAGAGATTTCAAGCATGAGTAAGAGACTGGGGATGACTTATTATTTACATTGCCTTGGATCCATCCAGCACCACAAAAAGAAAAAAAAATCCAAATAGTCCAATTAGTCTGGAACTAATGAGATAAAGACATTTTAAACTAAGACAGTATCATGCAGAAAGGGCTAGAGACTTGACAGAACAGGGCTTTAAGGGAATTATAAGGAGGTCTGTATTACTGGAGAAAAAGGGGTACAGAAAGGAGTGGGAGAGAGTCAGAAGTGTAGTTTCAGTTGCCAAAGAACTTATAACCAGTGCAACAAACTTCAGAGCATTTTCGTCTTCCTCCTAGAAGACAAAGTGGAGTCATGAAAAAGTTTCATAACAAACATGACATCCTTTGCCATTTACCAACACTCTAAATAGTAAATTATTTTGTTTTCCTGTCCGTTTCCTCATTTGAAAAAAGAAGCATATATTTCCCAGAGTCTTGTTAATATTAAATAAGATAATTCAAGACAAAATACCAAATATAATGCCTGGAAAATAGCAGGTTCTCTGGAAATGTTGTTTTATTATCAATAATAGTAAGAATTTTCCCTGTTTTCCACATATAGTAAGGAGCAATATGTTTACTCTCTAGTTTATAGAAAGAGAATCTTAGTCATAAATGTAAAAATCAGGTTTCTTCATCTTCCAGTCTAGTGTTACACGAACAGAATGAGCTTTCTAGCAAGAAAAGCTTGAGATTGCTATAACCTGCCAGAGTAAAGAATTCTACCAAGCTACACAGGGCACAGGAAATGCCAAAATGACATTGAAGGCGTTCTTCACCAACTGTTATTTGGCAGACATAGAAAAGGCTTAAATTACAAGATCTCATACATGAGATATTTTGAATTGTAGGGTATGTGGGTGTTCCTTTCTATGATTCTGTATCCATACAAAATTTTAATTACATTAAAAATATGTTTTGAAGCCGGGCGTGGTGGCACATGCCTTTAATCCCAGTACTCGGGAAGTAGAGGCAGGTGAATCTCTATGAGTTCAAGACTAGCCTGGTCTACATAGTGAGTTCCAGGACAGCTGGGGCTACAGGGAGACCCTGTCTCAAAAAGACCAAAAAAATGTGTGTGTATGTTTGTGTGTGTGCATGTGTGTGTATGTGTGTGTGTATGTGCATGTGTGTGTGGCGGTGTGTGTGTGTGTGTATGTGTGTGTGTATGTTTTGAGAAACTGAAATGGCAATATTTCCTGGTGACATAGCTCTCTTTTTTAAAAAAAATGTTTACCTTTTTATAGACTGATAACATTACCACTACTGTGATTACTACTTTTTCAATCTTGGAAAAGCAAAGAGAAACTACTACAATATCCTAGTACCATCAAAGACGAGCAATTTGTTTACATTTCAGATATATAGGAGACAACTCTGTAAACTC